TAGAGGAGGACGCACACGTGCGTGAATCCACGTCGGCTTCGAGAGTACGCTCATCGCGAATTCGTGCCACGCGGCCGGTCTCGCGGACCGGGGGACCGTGCTCGTGCACGTAGGTTTAAGTCGGGCCTGTCCCTCTACAGGGGGAATATCCAATAATATCTAGGACATAGTCAGGGGACGTTTTTTTCTTGCTTTTTCTCAGTTGTTTGACTATTTATATTTGTTGTTTGTTTTGTGTTTTGTTTTTTGTTATATAAAAGTGATATTTTCCTAAACATCCCCCTGTAGGGGGACAGGCCCGACCTAAACGTAGGTGGGCGCGTGCGTCCTTCGTGGGCTCCCTCGTTATACCAGCCCCCTGTCCTGTCCGAGGGCTGGTCCTTTGGCTGGCCGGTGCTCCTCTCGCCGGGCATCTCGCTTCGGATGCAGCTCCTGGGAGGGCAAATTCTGATCTTGCCCTGTTCCGAGATCCAGCCTATCTGGCCTCATCCCGCTGAATCTGGCTTACTCCCGCCAGATCTGGCTTCGTCCCGCTTCCTCCTGGGCCCAGTCCGGCGCAGCAGCCTTCCAAAGGGGGCTTACTTCCCCTTAAATCTTCGGGCGAAGACCTCCCAGTAGTTGCCTCCAAATTTCGCGGTTATCTGGAGGCTTCGTCGTTCGATGGATCTCTGCCAGCACCGCAAAACATCCAACTACTTCTGCCCCCCCCCCCCCCGCAGCCGCAGCGCAGACTGTGCGGCCGCTGCTAGCTGCGCACGAGCCGCAGAAGATACAACTGCGTACGTACGTGAACGTATACGTTTGCTGAGATTCGCGTGCATTTCTTGGGTCGGCGCTGGGCCCCCCTGGCGGCGCCTCCAGCGCCGCCCCTGGTGCGCTCCGCTCGCCAGGGGAGGTGGGTGCAGCGCCGATCCAAGACATCCGCGTTGACCTCCGAAAGTCTATGCTCATGCTGTTCTTCCTGCCTTTAACGAGGGCGCAAGTACAGGGGAAGGGAAGACAGAGTAGGAAGAAGAGGATGTGGAAGGATCCAAGATCCGATGCATGGACGTGGAGGTGTTTTGAATTTCCTTGGCCTCATGATGCCTCCCGGGGACGTTGGAGTACCTCCCTGGCATCTTTGGGGACCTTTGGAGTCCTTCAGCCGTTGAGTTTGTCGTCCTTGACCAGGGAGGTGGAGAATCGATGACGTCGACGACTTGAGCGTCTTCGTTTCGAGGGTTCTGAGGAGTTTCTAAAGGTTCCTGCCACCATGGCTGGGCGCGGCTCGGAAAAGGTTGCGTCGTGCGCTTTGTCGCCTTGCCCAGCATTACCTCATGCCGCTGAGAGCGAATCTTGGACTCCCCATTGATGGGTGTTCCTGCATAGGTCGCACTTTACCTAGGTGCTTCTTGGCACCTCCTGGGGCTTCTGGTGCGCTTCTAGTGCAGTGTCTCCCTACGCTTCCCGTGAAGGGGAGGTTGTCTTCGCCATTCTGCCGAGCAAGGGTTCTGGCCCTCTTCCGCGTGCACCCCGCCTCTCCGCGCCGCCTCCGAGAGGTCCAGCGCAGTGCGCGGCGCGCCACAGTCGTGAGAAGCCGACGAAGCGCAGGCGTGGACCCCCCGGCCGTGCGCGGGGGGTCTCCGGGCCGGGCCGATCTGTGCATGGGGGCCCCCGGGGGCCTGGAGTCAGGAGGGAAAAAACACACACACACAGACACAATGACTCCTCGATTCCCCAGGAAGTGTGGGGAGATGTGGGAAGTGGGGGGGAGGGCGAACACCCTAAAGATGTAAGACAACATGGGGAAGCATTGGATTTGTGTGTCTTCCTCTGTGTGTCCTGGGGCCCCTCTTTAATGGAGGCAGGGCGGCGGCGCCCCCGGGGGCGAAGGCGCCCTCGCCCTGCCGCGGTGCCACGGGGCGGCTCCCCCGGTGCTCCGCTCCCCCTCCGGCCCTGTGGGTTCGTCGGGGGGGGGGGGGGTCGTGTAGGGGGGGTCGGAGGCAGCTCCTGGGAAGCGGGGGGGAAGACGAAAGCCCTAAAGAGATGGGAAGTGGGGGCAAGACGAAGTGGGGGGAAGTGGGGCAGCTCCTGGGAAGTGGGGGGAAGACGAAAACCCTCCGGCCCTGGGGTCGGGGGGGGGTTCGCATAGGGAGGGGCGGAGGCAGCCCCCATGGGAGGGCCACTGCTGATATTTGGCCCTGGTCCGAGCTCCCGCTCGATCCGGCTTCATCCCGCTGCATTCCGCTTCGAATCTGGCTTGATCCCTCCGGCCTGCATGGGGTCGGGGGGGGGGGTTCGTGTAGGGAGGGCCGGAGGCAGCTCCTGGGAGGGCCACTGCTGATATTTGGCCCTGGTCCCCTGGTCCGAACTCCCGCTCGATCCGGCTCGGTCCCGCTGCATCCCGCTTAGAATCTGGCTGGATCCCGCTTCATCCCCCTCTGAATCCGGCTTTTCCGGCTTTTATAGTGCCGCTTGATCCGAGAGGCCCGCCCTGGCGCAACAGCCCCCTCTCCACTGGGGCTCAATCCTCCCTATGATCCTTCCGACGAAGGCCTCCCAGCAGTTGCCTGAACGAGGGGGCCACGTGCGAGCCCTGCCCCTGCCCCCCACGACTTCTGAGCGGGAGGGTGGGGTTCACTTCGCTCGAGAGCTCCCGAGCGAAGTGAACCCCACCCTCCCCCTCAGAAATCGTGGGGGGTAGGGGTATAGGGCTCGCACGTGGCCCCCTGTGCATCCTTCCGGCGAAGGCCTCCGAGCAGTTGCCTCCTACCATTTGTGTGTATGTATCTGTGTGTATTTGTTTGCGTGTCCCAGGGCCCCTTCACAGCAGTTGCCTGCATCCTTCCGGCGAAGGCCTCCGAGCAGTTGTTGGTGGTGAGACACCCAGTGGTGACCCCGATTCCCCAAAGAAATAATTTTGGGTCACCACCGGGTTTGGGGACACGCGGTCGCCACGAGGTTTTGCGTTTCCTGGGCCAGCCAGCGCGCGAAAACCATTACCCAAATCGCCCCAAACTCACCACCGGGTGTTCTCACCACCACGTTTGGGGACCACCAAAGTTGCCTCCTATGAGGGAGGGCGTGCACGGCCCGAGGTGCCGCGCCGTGCGCGTGCCCTGGGGCCGCGGCTCTGCCGCCTCCCGCCTTCTTCGGGAGGGGAGCGAGCACACTTTTTGGTCGGCGGGTCGGGAGCGGGGCCCTTCCGGTGAAGAGCCGGGCGGGGCGCGCGAAGCCCTAATTAGGGGAGACAGGGCGCGGGCGGGCGGGGCCTCAGGCGGCCGGAGGGTGGGAACGAGCACGCACAGACACCACGAGTCGTCGTCCCAGGAGAATAGGGGAAACCATGGGAATTGGATGGGAAGGCAAAATAAGGCAGAAAACATGGGAACATATGGGGAGTCATGTTTTTTGTGTGTACTTCTTTGTGTGTGTGTGTGTGTCCTGGGGCCCCTCGACTTCTGGGGAGCCGCGATCGTCCCACTTCAGTCTCGAGGCCGCTCGCCGTGGCAGCTCTTCTCCGGGACGGTGAGTTCGGGGGGCTCAGCAGCGGCCGGAGAACGTTCGCTCGGCATCAGCTGCAGTAGGCAGCCTCAGGTGTCGTTGAGTGTGCGGATCCGTCTTGAAGCTGGTATTCCTTTCACTCAGAGGCTGTCCGCTGCGACTCTATATCGTATGGATGCGATTTGGCATTCTGTTCCCTAGGCAGCTTGTCTGTGATGGTTTTATATCGCACTCATCTTGCGAGGGGTTTACTGGGCCCGGGAATCGCTGGGGCGACGCTGCCTCCCGTTGCTCGGGGTCGGCAAAGAGGGGGGGTGATGACTAGGGGGGGGGGATATCATGGCGGTGGCCATGATATCTCCCCAGATTTCATGGCGCCTCTTCTTATTCCACTACGTCCCTGCCCCCCCCCCCCTGGGCCGCGCACGTGCCGCCGGCCATGATGTGCACCCCCCCCTCTTGGACGCCCCCCTCTTTCGGGCCGGACGAAAGGGGGGGATTGGGGAAATCCGCTGCATGCAGCTGGTTTCGGCCTCACCGAGGGGCCCATTATCCTCGATACGCAGCCGTCTCCGGCGCCGGGAGGCGCCTCGGAATATCAGCTACGTGAGCTGATTCTCAAACCCTCCCTTTGCTATCCCCCCCTTTCGCCCGACCCGACTCTTGGCCGCCCCCGAGTCGCCTCCCGTGGCCTCCCGCCGTGGCCCCCGCCGTGGCCTCCCGAGGCCTCGCGTGGCCTCGCGTGGCCTCCCGGGGCCTCTCCTGCCCCTGGCCGGCATGGCTCACGGCAGTACTGTATCTTTTTCCCCGAGTCCCTTCCTCCTCCTCCTCCTCCCCTCCTCCTCCTCCCCTCCTCCTCCTCCTCCTCCTCATCCTCCTCCTCCTCCTCCTCCTCCTCCTCCTCCTCCTCCTCCTCCTCCTCCTCCTCCTCCTCCTCCTCCTCCTCCTCCTCCTCCTCCTCCTCCTCCTCCTCCTCCTCCTCCTCCTCCTCCTCTCTCCTCCTCCTCCTCCTCCTCCTCCCCCTCCGCCTCCCCTCCTCCTCCTCCTCCTCCTCCTCCTCCTCCTCCTCCTCCTCCTCCTCCTCCTCCCCCTCCCTCCTCCTCCTCCTCCTCCCCTGTCCAATCTGCCGATCTGTGCCCCCATCCTGGCCCCTATTCCTGTATCCCTATCACCATGTCCTCAGCCCCACATCCCTACCCCTATATCCCCGTCCCCTACCCCGATCCCCCTATCGTGGCCCACATCGTGACACCATCGGGACCGCCCTCGTAACCGTGCAGAACTGTACAGGGCATTCTGCCGCAAGGGCGTCGTTCTATCACCAGATCGTCGTGGCCAGTGGATGTCTGCACATGCAGTCTGGTATGATGTGTCTGGCGGGTCTGGGGACGCCCTAGGCGTTGCCGGACTGATGTGCGTAGGTCATGGTGGGGAACTCAGTTGATGCAGGTCAACCCGCCAGCTTCCGTTCCGTTCCCCCCTCTTGTCCTGCCCTCTTGTCCGGACGCCCGACCGAGGCTCATGGTGGCCTCTTGCTACCGCCGGATGGGCGCGTCCGCCATGGCCTTGAAGCTCTACGAGGAGATCCACCGAGCGCATCCCAACGACATCGAGTGTGTGCGGTACCTCATCACGATCTGTAAGGACCTCCTCCTTTTCTCACTCCTCCTTCTCTCCCTCTCTCCTCCTCCCTTGTCCCCCTCCCTCTCCCCCTCCTTCCTTCCCTCCTTCCCTTCCTCCAAGCAGTAAAAATAGTTTGGGGATGATTTCCGATTACTATCTTTTAAAAAGTGATTATTTATCCGTAAGGGCTTCGCCCCCTGCCGCCGGCCCCCTCTCTCGGAGAATGGGCCATGGAAGAGCTAAGTCATGAGGCCTTGGCGCTGTCGTGAAGCAGTATCGAAACTTCATGCGAAGCCGAGTCGCAATCAGCAAAACCAACTGATCACAAGAGGGGTTACCACACCTGGCGATTGGTAAGACGTGTATGGTTTAAGGGCTTGGTTACCACACCTTGCGATGAAAGGGCCGAGGGAGTTCTCGCAGTTTGGGTTACCACGCCTTGCGATGGATGTGCGTGATGGGTTCGAATTTCAGAAATGTGGCAAATCCCCTGTGTTTTTGGACCCTGACCCCGCGGATCTGCGTGCGTGCGTGGCGTGGGGTGGCACCGAATTTCAGAAATGTGGCAAATCCCTGTGTTTTTGGACCCTGACCCCGCGGATCTGCGTGAGGGGTGGCACCGAATTTCAGAAATGTGGCAAATCCCTGTGTTTTTGGACCCTGACCCCGCGGATCTGCGTGAGGGGTGGCACCGAATTTCAGAAATGTGGCAAATCCCTGTGTTTTTGGACCCTGACCCCGCGGATCTGCGTGAGGGGTGGCACCGAATTTCAGAAATGTGGCAAATCCCCTGTGTTTTTGGACCCTGACCCCGCGGATCTGCGTGAGGGGTGGCACCGAATTTCAGAAATGTGGCAAATCCCCTGTGTTTTTGGACCCTGACCCCGCGGATCTGCGTGAGGGGTGGCACCGAATTTCAGGAATGTGGCAAATCCCCTGTGTTTTTGGACCCTGACCCCGCGGATCTGCGTGAGGGGTGGCACCGAATTTCAGAAATGTGGCAAATCTCCTGTGTTTTTGGACCCTGACCCCGCGGATCTGCGTGAGGGGTGTTGATTTCGAGTCCCCCTCAGTAATTCAGACAACGCGCCCAGGGGACGCTGGAAAATCCTGTTTGGGCCTCCCCCCCCTCGCGCGGTCAATCAACTAGTTACAGTAACCAGCAAGAAGTCAACTAGTTACAGTAACCAGCAAGAAGCAGAACTGTACCACCTGGAAACTAGAAACTACAAATGGTACAGGAAACTGCGAATCACGCGCCTCGCAGCCTGGTGGCCCCACAAGGGGGCCGGCGGATTTTTCTTATTTTGTATTGTAGTGGCCTCTGGCCAGTGCCGCCGATCCGGGACGCTTCCGTTGCTGCCGGAAGCGCACGATGGCGGTCATGACCGGCGACGACGGCGAGCGGTGAGGATGATCATGATGAGGATGAGGAATGGATGCGACGGAGGAGGAGGAGAAGGAGGAGGAGGAGGAGGAGGAGGAGGAGGAGGAGGAGGATCGTGATGAGGTGGAGGGGGTGGAGGGGGGGGGCCGGAGTAGCAGGATGCTTAGGATGAGGAGGAGCAGGAGGAAGCGGGAAGTGGAAGAGGGGGAGGGGGAGAATGAGGAGCATGACGAGGATGGGGAAGCATTTGGGCCGGTTTTGGGCTTCTCGGGGGGAGTCTTGAAGGCAGCTTGGAGGCCTTTAGACGGTTTCTTGGATGCATCTTTTGAGACTCCAGGCCTCTTGAGGGCTTCTGGGGGCCTGCTGGAGGTCTTCGGCGCTTCTTCCGCCGTCTTGTCGCCCTGTCAGGCGCCTCTTGGGCCCGTCCCGGGGCTCTTTTGGGCCTTTCTGGGGGCCTCTCTGGCCATCTTGGGCCTTTGTTGGGCCGTCTTGGAGCCCTTTTGGCGGCTTCCTGGGCCGTTTTGGAGGTGTCTTGGAGCGCCCGTGACGCTCTGAAGGTCCAAGAGGCGAATCTGCTAAACTTGCACATTTTCCTGAAGGCATGGGAGTCTTTTGGGGCCTTCTTTGGGAGGCCTTGTCAGGGCTTCTGAGGGCATCTTGGAGGCTTCTGGGGCCGTTTTGGGGACATCTTTGGTGCTTGTAGCGATTGTTCGGCGACTCGGGGCCCTCTTGGCCCATGTTGGTGCCCTCCTGGGCGAGGGGGCCGTCCCGGAGTGAGCTGGAGCTCCGATTCCGCCCCGGGAAATAAATCGACCCCCCCCCGCCCCCTGCCCCGGCAGAGCCACCCCGGCACCCACCCCCCAGTGGAGCTGAAACTCAGGAATTGAGGCTCAGGCTGTTCTGAGGGCCTTTCAAACTCACACGCCGGATCGGCTGCTTTTTCATCCCAGATCCGCCTGCAAGAGAACATGCGCAACCGAATGCTTCCCCCAACCGCCCCTTGCCCGCAGACCCCCCGGTTGTTGCCGCGGGGGGTCACAGGGAAAACTCAGCGAACGCACTGGCAGGGAGGAGGCAGCCCCCGCCAGGCCACTTGCCTCCATGACTTCGAGCGCGGTCGGCCGTCCCCGCGCGGCGCCACGCACTGGCATAGACAAGACCTAGACTGGGTCTGGTGCCAGGGTCGTTGATGCGCGGATGCAGAAGAGGAAAAGGAGGATGAGGAGGAGGAGGAGGAGGAGGAGGGGGACGAGGAGGAGGAGGAGGAGGAGGAGGAGAGGAGGAGGAGAAGGAGGAGAGGAAGAGGAGAGGGCGAAGGAGGAGGAGGAGGAGGAGGAGGAGGAGGTTGAGGAGGAGGAGGAGGAATAAGACACATAGTAAGAGGAGGAGGAGGATGAGGAGGAGGAGGAGGAGGAAGAGGATGATGATGAGGAGGAGGAGGGGGAGGCGAAGGAGGAGGAGGAAAAGGAGGCGGAGCAGGAGGAGGAGGAGGGAGAGGAGTAGGTTGAGGAGGAGGAAAAGGAAAGGGAGGAGGAGGAAGGGGAGGAACAGGAGCAGGATCAGGAGGAGGAGGAGGATGAGAAACATGTTGATGATGATGCTGGTGCTGATGATGATGATGATGCTGATGATGATGCTGATGCTGCTGCTGATGATGATGATGCTGATGATCATGATGCTGATGATGCTGATGCTGATGATGTTGATGATGAGGAGGAGGAGGAAGATGAGGGGGAGGAGGAGGTGTAAGAGGAGGAGGAGGAGGAATGGGGGAGGAGGAGGGGCAGGGAGAAGGGGAGGTGATGAGCGGCGGAGGGAGGCGCAGTAGGAGACTCGGCACGTTTCTACAATAGGTTCGCGGACCAGTTTTCCACTGGTGAGCCCCCACTAGGTCAGGACCAGTTGCAGGGAATGGCCCCGACTCAAGGCTGAGAGTAGGGGAAGGAGGATGCGGAGGGAGAGGATGAGCATGATGAGGAAGAGGCGGGTGAGGAAAGAGGGGGAACACGAGGTGGTGGGGGGGAGGGAGGAGGGAGGAAGGATGTAGAGGGGGAGGGAGGGGGGAGCCCATTTCCTCAAGGAAATGAACCAGAAGTACGACCACTACGCCGCCCACCTGCGCAAGTCGGCGCCTCGGCCGCCCGCTGAACGCCTGCGGTTGGTCTCCCTCGGAGGCCATCGCAGCCCCTCGGGGGCCTGCGCATGCCCTCGGTTGCCTTCCCTCGGAGACACGCTGAAGCCTTCTGAGGCTCTCAGAGGAGGCCTCTCAGAGGCCTTCGGGGGCTGGCGCTTTCTGGGTTTGTTTTGGTCCTCCTTTTGGCCTCTCCTCCCTCCCCTCTCCCCGCCCCCCTCGCTTCTCCCTCCTCCCTCTTCCCTCCTCCCCGTCATCGCTCACTTCATTATCCTCCTTCTCCTCCTTTTCCTTCTCCTCTTCTTCTTCTTCTTCTTCTTCCTCCTCCTCCTCCTCCTCCTCCAATCCTTTCCCGTATACATAACTTATCCCTGTCGCACCCCGACGGCAGTTTTTAGGGCGGGCCGTGCGTTTCGCCTGATATTTCCCCACCCTTTATGATTCTGGCGCTTAAAAGTTGGCAGGAGTTTCGCAGACGGAGGGCGTGTGGTTTTCAACATGTGGCTCTCGCCTGAGCGCCGCGCAGATTCGTTGTACATATTTCACAAGTGTTTCACGGATTAGGGATAACCCGTTTTCAAACTGTGGCTCTCGCCTTAGCGCCGCGCGCATTCGTTGTAAACAGTTGCAAGCGTTTCACGGAGTGGGGATAACCCGTTTTCAACATGTGGCTCTCGCCTTAGCGTCGCGCACGTTCGTTGTACACATTCGCAAACGTTTCACGGAGTGGGGATAACCCGTTATCGACATGTGGTTCTCGCTTTAGCGCCGCGCGCATTCTTTCTATTTTTTTGCAGAAGTTTCACGGGTTCCCGCGATCAGCTCACCAGAAATGGTGTTTTGTAAGGATTTCGGATTTTGCGGGCGCAGCAGTTGCGTTAGTTCGCGGTGTTGAAATCCCAAGAATGGCTTACTGGCACGATCCAGGATCGTCAATACTCAACAGTCAGGTTGATGCGTGGCGTTGGATTCCCGAGAACGATGTTTTGGCATGCTTTTCGGTCTCAAGACGGTTGCCTTCCAACGAGGCAGACCTCTCAATGGAGATGAACAGTTGTAGGGGCCTATGAAGAGGGAGCTTGGAGGGAGGGTGTATTCCGACATCGTTGATGGCTCTTGGGTTTACACTGGTCCTCCTCCTCCTCCTCTTCCTCCTCCTCCTCCTCCTCCTCCTCCGCCTCCTCCCCCTCCTCCTCCTCCTCCTCCTCCTTCTCCTCCTCCTCCTCCCCCTCCTCCTCCCCCTCCTCCCTCCTACATCTCCCTCCCCCTCCCCCTCTCCCCCTCTCCCGCCCCGTCCTCTCCCCTCTCGCCCTCGCCCTCCTGCGTCGCTTCCCTGGTGCACTGGTGTGCCGCGGTGGAGCGGAGAAGAGGAGGGGCCAGCCTCCATCGGGAGGGGCCGTCGGGAGTGGCTGCCGAGACGCACGCGCAGGACAGAAGACCGCCGCCGCCGCCGCCGCCGCTGGCGTTGCGTCGAGCGCTCGTGGCAGCGTGCCGCTGCTGCTGGCGGCGGCTCCCCTCGCCGCTGCACCGAGGCTGGAGAGGGCGCAGGAGCAGGGCGTCGGTGGCGGGGCGGCGGGCCAGGGCCTGGAGGAGGAGCCGCCCTCGAGGGGGGCGCGCCGCCGCCGCCTCGGGGCCTGCGCTCCCGGCTCTCCGGCGATCGAGGCGCTGCAGCGCGGTCGCGCCGGGGGCGCCATCACACGCCCGCCCTCGGGCCCCGGCCGTGGCCACTGCATCGGGAGGAAGATGTAAAAACAAGCAAAGATAGTCAGGGGGCGACTTGCGAGCGTTTTTTTGCGAGTTCTGGAGCGCTTCTTTCATTTTTATGTGTTTCGTCCAGAGTCTGCCTGTGGGGGGGGGCATGCCCGACCTGAGCCTAGGGCTATGGTCGTGACTGCTCGCGAATTGGCAATTTCGTTGTGGCGTCGGATCTCGGGGTCTTGCCGTCCGACCGGTTTCCTCAGCCCAGCCGTTGTGGATGTCTCTTCTTCGCTCCTGTGTCGTCTGGTCAGCCAAGGAGCTTGGTGTATAGACGCCCCGACTTCCCAGGCTGTCGGACACTAGAGCGTCTATACACCGAATTCCTTCGTTGAGCTCCTTGACGCCTTGGTCCACTAAAGCGACGTGGTGTGCACACATCGCGTCCCTCCCAGCCTGGCCAGATATCGAGGCACTGCTCGGCCCCATTCCTGCCCCCGTTCGGACCTCGTCTCCTCGCCTCCTCCGCCTGCGCCAACCCCCCTCGTTGCCGAGCAGCTGGCATCGCCGAGCGCCGAGCGGAGGCGAGGCGCAGGAGTGCGGCCAGGCCTGGAGCTGCGCGCGCCGAGGCACTGCAGCGGCGCGCGCCCTGGCATGGCGCTCTCGCTTCCTCCCGCCACTTCGAAGCGCGCCCCCTCCTCCCTGCTCTCTGTGCCCGGCCTGCCAGGGGACGTCGGGCCAGTTGTCGTCATCAGACGCTGCCCGGCCTGCCAGGGGAAGTCGGGCCAGCTGTCGCCGTCGGAACACAGCGTCCTCGCCCACGCCAGCGTCCCGCGAGCCTCCCCTGCCGGTTCCTTGCCTCCTTCTCCCGCGACCGAATCCTGCATCCTCCTCCTCCTCCTCCTTCTCCTCCTCTACCTTCCCATTCATTGACATCGTCGGCGACGGCGCCCGCGGCGGCGAGGAGGACGGGGACCTGACGCAGGGCGCCCCCGGGCGGCAGCCCGTCGGCTCGTTGGGGGGCGGCTTCGAGGAGGACCGGCTGGCTGGCGAGAGATGCGCTCTTGCCCCCCTTGTTGTTGTTGTTGTTGTCGTCGTCGTCGTCGTCGTCGTCGTCGTCGTCGTCGTCGTCGTCGTCGTCGTTACCGTTGTTGTTGTTGTTGTTGTTGTTGTTGTTGTTGTTGTTGTTGTTGTTGTTGTTGTAGCTGTTGTTGTTGTTGTTGTGGTTGTTGTTGTTGTTGTTGTTGTTGCTGTTGCTGTTGCTGTTGCTGCTGTTGCTGCTGCTGCTGCTGCTGCTACTGCTGCTGCTGCTGTTGTTGTTGTTGTTGCTGTTGTTGTTTTTGCTGTTGTTGTTTTTTTTGTTGTTGTTGTTGCTGTTGTTGTTGAATTCTCATTTCTGAATAGTAATTACTGTTGATCCCCCCCACCAGTGCATACTGTTTTTTCTCAATCAAAGTGTGCCCCTCGACGCTCGCACCCTGTTTTTTTTGACAGGGAAAGTCTTCATGCTCAAACTGGGCCCCTGGCCCCCGGGTTGCAACAACAACGGCTCCCGCCTGAGGTTTCCTTACAATTTGGCCAGGACCCCCGCTCCCGCCCGAGACTTCCTCGCATTTAATCCAGGAGTCGCGCTCTCGCTTTGGACTTCCTTACGATTTAGTCAGGAATCGCTCTCCCGGCGCTCTGGAGTCGCGCTCTCGCTGGAGACTTGCTTGCAACTTACTGGGGAATAGCCTTGCGTTGGAATTTCGTGGCCCCATACGCATTCCCTTCGTGACCCCGCTGTCGCCCTTCGTGGCCTACTTCGTGCCCTTCGTGGCCCTGCTGTCGTTCTCTCTCGCTCTCGCTTTCGCTCGTCGTCGCCGTCGTCGTCGTCGTCTGCGTCGTCTTCGACGTCGTTGTCGTCGTCGTCGTCGTCGTCGTCGTCGTGGTCGGTCCCCTGTCCGTCCCTCTTGGGGTCGGGTCGACGGTCCGCGGCCGCCCCGCCGATCAGCGGTGCCGCTGGCCAGGCCGACGGTCCGCGGCCGCCCCGCCGCTTGCCAGGGCCTGGCCTGCAGGGAAGAAAGGTAAACCCCCCAAAAGGGGCTCGATCGAAGACGAAGAGGGCGGGTATCAAGGGTTTGGGAAATACGCGATATTGGACACTCGAGCATATAAGGGCGAACAGTCTTAAAATGATTGTTGTTGTCGTCGTCGTCGTTGTCGTCGTTTTCGTCGTCGTCGTCGTCGTTGTTGTTGTGGTTGTTGTTGTTGTTGTTGTGGTTGTTGTTGTTGTTGTCGTTGTTGTTGTTGTTGTTGTTGTTGTTGTTGTTGTTGTTGTTGTTGTTGTTCTTGTTCTTGTTCTTGTTGTTTGTTGGTGTTGTTGCTGCTGCTGTTGTTGTTATTGTTGTTGTTGCTGTTGTTGTCGTCGTCGTTGTCGTTGTTGTCGTTGTTGTGGTTGTTATTGTTGTTGTTGATGAAAATTCATGTCTAGAGAATAGTTATTGTTGGTCTCCGGAAACGGTTCCGCGCGCTCTCGCCTCGACGCCGGCTACATGCTCTCTGAGAACGAGGCTCCCGCTCGAGCGTTGGCTTGACCCTCAATGTGGGCCGTTGGAAGCCCAGCTACTACAACAACGGCTCCCGCTCGATACTTCCTCACAATTTACCCCGAGACACCCTGGCCAGAGAGGCCCCCGAAGTCAGGAACGGCGCTCTCGCTCGAGACATTCTCGCAAGTCAACGAAGTTGGCGGAGGCCCAGCCACGACGACAAGGGCTCCTGCTCGATACTTCCTCACGATTTACTCCGAGAGCCCCTTGCCAAGAAGGCCCCCGAACTCAGGAACGGCGCTCTCGTTCGAGTCGTTCCCGTAATTCAGGCAAGTTGGTGGAGGTTCCGGCACGGCGACAAGGGCTCCTGTTCGATATTTCTCCATCGGTATTCCGAGAGACCCTGGCCAGAGAAGCCCCCGAAGTCAGGAACGGCGCTCTCGCTCGAGACTTCTTCGCATTTCAATCAGTGGCCGACAAGGAAGAGATTCCCCCGAAAGGGGGTGCAGTCGAAGACGAAGTGGGCGGGTATCGAGAGTTGGGGTATACGGAATGCAAGACACATGTGCCAGTAATAGCGGTCAGCCTTAAAATGATTGTTGTTGTTATTGTTGTTATTGTTGTTGTTGTTGTTGTTGTTGTTGTTGTTGTTGTTGTTGTTGTTGTTGTTGTTGTTGTTGTTGTTGTTTGTTGCTGCTGCTGCTGTTGTTGCTGTTCTTGTTGCTGTTGTTTTTGTTGTCGTTGCTGTTGTTGTTGCGTTTGTTGTTGTTTGCTTTTCCCCCCTCTGGGCCATGACGCGCGGCATGCCCCCCCGCCCCTCTCTCCCCCCTGCAGAACTCGGAGGTCAAGAGACGGGGTCAATGCGAACAGTGGTCAGTCTTAGCGCAGGATGTTGCAGGATGATGAGTTGGTGGTGGTTGCGTTGGTGATGGGGCTGGTGCCGGTCGTGGTGGTGGTCGCGAGAATCGTGGCTGTCGTGATCGTGGTCACGGTCGCTGGTGGTAGTCGTAGTCGTCGCGGTGGACGTGGTTGCGGTCGCGGCCGCTGGTGATGATTGTGGAGGTGGTAGTTGTGGTGCTGGCGGTGGTCGCGGTGGCTGGCTGCGGCTTTAGGGATTTGTGTGCTTAGCGCCGGAGTGCATTCAGCCGCATCGCGGCATTGCAATTCACGAGAGGTTTGCTAATCTGCCGAGCTCGCCCCGCAGCCACCTCACCTAGGGGGCCGTTGCGAGGGCGACTTGCTTTTTCCCGAAGGCGACTGGCCTCTTCGGCGGCCGTGAACCGGGCGACGCGCGTGCGATCCGCCTCGTGGGGGCGCGCGAAGCTGGCGACGCACTCGCCGAAGGACCTCCTCGCACGACATGCGTGTTCGCGAGCACGGCGGGCCTTTTCGGCGGCCGACGCACGGGCGACGCACGGGCAACGCTTGCGTGACGCATCTTTATCGCAGGGGGGGGGGTCAGCACGCTGCTCGGTTTACTGGGCCTTGACGCGGGAGGCCAGGCTTGCGAACGGCTGCCTGAGGCCCAGACCGTGGCCCGAATGTCCAACTACTGACTTAGTTGTTGGCCCCTCGGAGACCCCTCTGGGTGCATCGGCTGGGCGCGGCTCTGGAAACGGGCCAGGGCTGATGGCTGAAAGGAGCCCTCGGCCATGTCCTCGACGGGGGTTGTAGGGGCTCGCTTCCCAGCTTGACGGAAAACGGGCAGGGATTTGTGTGTAGTGCGTCGCGCCTTTGGTTTTGGTCCACCATGTTTCGGCGCGAGCGCTAACCGTGTCCCAGCCCCTGGCCGAGCGTCGACGACCCGAGCCTTTCCCTGCGTCTCGCCCCGCGGAGCGGAGCGACGCGCTCTCAGCTGACAGGGCATGTCGCGCCGTTGGGGCTCCCCTCCACCGAAGGCCCCAGTGGCTATGTTCGCATGCGCCCACCGCGCTCATTTCGGCACGCGCCTCACTCGCTTTTCGGCACCATCGGGAGCTCCACCGACGGCCCCGCAGTCTGCGATCGCATGCGCCCACCGCACCTATTTCGGCACACCTCTCACGCGTTTCGTGGCCCCACAGGGAACTCCACCGACGGCCCCAGTGGCTGCTTTCGCATGCGCCCACCGTACCTCTTTCGGCACACCCCTCACACGCTTCGTGGCCCTGTAGGGAACGCCTCCGAATGCGGTGCGTGCAACGACGGTGTTCAACATTTTATATGGTTGGGTCCTTCGCCAGGCTAATTACGGATGGGCGGCGGGTGGGTTTCAACATATGGTCATCGTCCCGGCGCAGTGCGCATTCGTCTTAAGAGGTTGCACGAGATTCGTGGATTGAGGGCGGGTGGTTTTCGACATGTGGTTCTCGCCTTACGGTTCGTTTTTTTTCCAAATGTGGTTCCCGCCTCAGTGTCGCGCGCTTTGGTTCTGCAATAATACTATACATTCTCATGGTGGAAGTCCCAGGGTTGCTGTTCTGTCTCGATTTGGGATTGCCTGGACGCAACAGTAAAGTTAATTCGTGGTGTTGATGTCCTATCGGTTGTGTTCTGGCACGACTTAGGGTTGCCAGGGTGCAGCCGTAACGTTGATGTGCGGTGTCGGCGTCCCAAAAACGGAGTGCTCGCACGAGTCATGATCCTCAGGGCGCACCAGTAGCGATGATCCACGGCGTTGAAATCCCAAGAAAGGCGGTGTGGCGTCCGTAGCTATTTTGGCTCAAACCGCTACTGCTCAGGCCACTTGGCTTTTGCCGAGGTCACGCCACCACTTGCCCCGACGCCAAGCCGTCCTATACCAAATGAGCTCCCGAGTTTCTCCTGAGCCGAATTGGTCGCAGAAGGTTCGTTACATACCAGCGAATGTGAACGGCAAGCAGGTAGTGGTCAGCCAGGGGGGAGACGCGTTCCTCGTCGACAACATCGAGCTGAGGAGCGCAGGGATGCCTGGAGTCCAGGGCCGGTTCAGCAAGGACTTGGATGACCGGGATCCATCCGCAATTGTGATGTTTGGTTCCAAGGTGCAGGGCGAACTCGAGGGCGATTGACTCAAGGTGGTGCTTCCAGAGGCAGCTCCAAGGCCGCAAGAAATGCTGCCCGCGGGGAGGGTTCGTTACATACCAGTGATGGTGCACGGCAAGCAGGTGGCGGTCGGCCAGGGCGGAGACACGTCGACAACATCGAGCTGAGGAACGCAGGGATGCCTGGAGTCCAGGGCCGGTTCAGTAAGGACTTGGATGACCGGGATCCATCCGCAATTGTGACGTTCGGTTCCAAGGTGCAGGGCGAGCTCGATGGCGATTGGCTCAAGGTGGTGCTTCCCGAGCCAGCAACGGCCGCTGGGGTTCCCGCTGGGATTCCCGCGAACAGCCACGTGGTGCACGAGAAGTATGTTGGCCCCAATACAAAAATGTTTGGCCTCGGTGGCTGCCTCTTGTGCGGTTGTCTGGCCCTTCTCATCTTTGCCTGCCCCGTTGACGAGCGGGATGTGTACGTGGCGCCGAATGGGGCCAAGTACACCCTGAGCGGCGCCCGGATCCAGTAGACCTGAGGGCCTCCTCCTCCTCCTCCTCCTCCTTATCCCTCTCCTCCGAGGCCCTTGCCCAACCTCCTCCAACTCGCGCTCTTGTGCGGCTCCGCGAGGGGCTCGCGCTTTTTGCCGAGCTCTGTACGCCGCTCACCCGCTCACCTATGTTTGAGCCGGCTGGGAGAGCCCACATACAATTGGATCATAACCCGTCTGCGAGGCCAGAGCCATGAGCGATGGATAGAGTCCATCGCCGCTTTTTTTACAGACAGGCGCTCGCGCACGGTCGGACGGAATGACGTCTGCCCTGCCGAAGTCCGGTGGGGAAAGCGTGTTGTGGCGAGCTTCTCTTGTTTTCTCCGGCGATTCCCTACACGATGCTCAGTTTGCCTCTTCCTGCTCCTCCTCGAGCCGACGGTCGGAGGGCGCGTCGTCGGCGCGCGCCCCGCGGGCTCGGAGGAGCAATGCCTCGTGGTGTAGAGTGCCGCGAGGGTCGAGGCCGCAAGGGAAAACACAATTGTTTCCAACCATCCTGTGCTGTTGGGTCCTCGTTTTGAAGAGACGGTCCCCGCGTTCCCTTCCTCCTTCCTTCCTTCCTCCTCCCCTCCTCCCTGCACCGGCCGCATGCGTCACGCACACCCAATTCGGCACACCATTCACACGTTTCGTGCCTCCACAGGGAGCTCCACCGAAGGCCCCAGTGCCACCGCCCGCATGCGTCACCCACACGCATTTCGGCACACTCCGCACACGTTTCGTGGCCCCACGGGGAGCTCCACCGATGGCCCCGGTGCCACCGCCCGCATGCGTCATGCACACCCAATACGGCACACCACTCACATGTTTCGTGGCCCCATAGGGAGCTCCACCGAAGGCCCCAGTGCCACCGCCCGCATGCGTCACCCACACCCATTTCGGCACACTCCTCACACGTTTCGTGGCCCCATAGGGAGCTCCTTCGAAGGCCCCAGTGCCAACGGCCGCATGCGTCACGCACACCCAATTCGGCACACCATTCACACGTTCCGTGGCCCCACAGGAAGCTCCACCGAAGGCCCCAGTGGCTGCGTTCGCATGCGCCCACCGCACTCATTTCGGCACACCCATCACACGTTTCGCGGCACCATGGGGAGCTCCACCGACGGCCCCAATGGCTGCGATCGCATGCGCCCACCGCACCTATTTCGGCACACCTCTCACGCATTTCGTGGCCCCACAGGGAACTCCACCGACGGCCCCAGTGGCCGCTATCGCATGCGCCCACCGCACCTATTTCGGCACACCTCTCACACGTTCCGTGGCCCTGTAGGGAGCGCCTCCGAATGCGGTGCATACAACGACGGTGTTCATAACTGCATAAGGTGGGTCCTTCGCCAGGCTAAATTCGAATGGACGGCGGGTGAGTTTCAACATGTGGTTCTCGTTCCGGCGCCGTGCGCATTCGTCTTAAGAGCTTGCACGATCTTCGTGGATTGAGGGCAGGTTGTTTTCGACATGTGGTTCTCGCCTTACGGTTCGTTTTTTCCCAATGTAGTTCTCGCCTTAGTGTCGCGCGCTTTCGATTTGCAGTAATTTTATAGACTCTCATGGTGGAGGTCCCAGGGTTGCTGTTCTGTCTCGATTTGGGATTGTCTGGACGCAACAGTAAAGTTAATTCGTGGTGTTGATGTCCTATCGGTTGTGTTCTGGCACGATTTAGGGTTGCCAGGGTGCAGCCGTAACGTTGATGTGCGGTGTCGGCGTCCCAAAAACGGAGTTCTCGCACGAGTCATGATCCTCAGGGCGCAACGGTAACGTTGATCCACGGTGTTGAAATCCCAAGAATGGCGGTGTGGCGTCCGTAGCTATTTTGGCTCAAGCCGCTACTGCTCAGGCCAGCTGGCTTTTGCCGAGGTCACGCCACCACTTGCCCCGACGCCAGGCCGTCCTAAACCAGATGAGCTCCCGAGTTTCTCCTGAGCCGAATTGGTCGCAGAAGGTTCGCTACATACCAGCGAATGTGAACGGCAAACAGGTAGTGGTCAGCCAGGGGGGAGACGCGTTCCTCGTCGACAACATCGAGCCGAGGAGCGCAGGGATGCCTGGAGTCCAGGGGCGGTTCAGCAAGGACTTGGATGACCGGGATCCATCCGCAATTGTGATGTTTGGTTCCAAGGTGCAGGGCGAGCTCGAGGGCCATTGGCTCAAGGCGGTGCTTCCAGAGGCAGCTCCAAGGCCGCAAGAAATGCTGCCCGCGGGGAGGGTTCGTTACATACCAGTGATGGTGCACGGCAAGCAGGTGGCGGTCGGCCAGGGGGGGAGACACGTTCCTCGTCGACAACGTCGAGCTGAGGAGCGCAGGGATGCCTGGAGTCCAGGGCCGGTTCAGCAAGGACTTGGACGACCGGGATCCATCCGCAATTGTGACGCTCGGTTCCAAGTTGCAGGGCGAGCTCGATGGCGATTGGCTCAAGGTGGCGCTTCCGGAGCCAGCAACGGCTGCTGGGGTTCCCGCTGGGGTTCCCGCGAACAGCCACGTGGTGCACGAGAAGTATGTTGGCCCCAATACAAAAATGTTTGGCCTCGGCGGCTGCCTCTTGTGCGGTTGTCTGGCCCTTCTCATCTTTGCCTGCCCCGTTGACGAGCGGGATGTGTACGTGGCGCCGAATGGGGCCAAGTACACCCTGAGCGGCGCCCGGATCCAGTAGACCTGAGGGCCTCCTCCTCCTCATCCCTCTCCTCCGAGGCCCTTGCCCAACCTACTCCAACTCGCGCTCTTGTGCGGCTCCGCGAGGGGCTCGCGCTTTTTGCCGAGCTTTGCACGCCGCTCACCCGCTCACCTATGTTTGAGCCGGCTTGGAGAGCCCACATACAATTGGATCATGACCCGTCTGCGAGGCCAGAGCCATGAGCGATGGATAGAGTCCATCGCCGCTTTTTTTAACAGACCGGCGCTCGCGCACGGTCGGACGGAATGACGTCCGCCCTGCCGAAGTCCGCCAGGGAAAGCGTGTTGTGGCAAGTTTCCCCTGTTTTCTCCGGTGATCCCTTACTCAAGCAGTGGCGAAGCGTTTTGGCTCGCCTATAGCCCTACCGAACAATGTTCTAAGAACCTTTTGTGGTTTCCACGAAATGTTCTTAGAGCATTTCTGGCGGAGTCTGTCTTGTTTTAACCCATCGGCTTAATGTTCTAGAAACATTGTTCTTGTTCTTAGAACATCTGTGTGTGGGTTCTAAGAACATTTCGTGGTAGGACTATAGGAATGCCGGGACGGTCGGTCCCTGCTCAATTTCTACGATGCTCAGTTTGCCTCGTCCTGCTCCTCCTCGAGCCGACGGTCGGAGGGCGCGTCGTCGGCGCGCGCCCCGCGGGCTCGGAGGAGCAATGCCTCGTGGTGCAGAGTACCGCGAGGGTCGATCCTAACCGCAGGGGAAAACACAGTTGTTTCCAACCATCCTGTGCTGTTGGGTCCTCGTTTTGAGGAGACGGTCCCCGCGTTCCCTCCCTCCTTCCTTCCTCCTCCCCTCCTCCCTGCACCGGCCGCATGCGTCACGCACACCCAATTCGGCACACTCCTCACACGTTTCGTGGCCCCACAGGGAGCTCCACCGAAGGCCCCCAGTGCCACCGCCCGCATGCGTCACGCACACCCAATTCGGCACACTCCGCACACGTTTCGTGGCCCCACAGCGGGAGGCCCCCAGGAATCCCAAGTGCCCAAACTAGTCTCCAAGAGACCCCGAAGCCCCCTGCAAGAGGCCCAATATTGTACGCCGAGAGACTTGGGGTCTTTGGGTGACTCTTACGGCCAGGAGGACGCCCGCTGGCCGCCAAGATGGCCCCTTAGTGGTCCAAGACGCTCCAAGATGTTTCAAGGCGGCCCCTAGGGGCGACAAGATGCCCCAGTGGAGCTCCCAAAGGCCCTCTCAAATGACCCCACAGAGCCACAAGCGCAAAAACCATTCATGCTTCTCCATATTCAGTAAATCTCACGCTCGTCTCCTTCGGATGGCTTCGGGAGATCTTCACATGGCGCTGAGGCTCGAAGAGCCCAACAGGGCCCCAAGCGGGCCCCAAGGCTTTCAAGGCAGCCCAAACAGGAAGATCCACAAGAGATCCGTACACTTCAAGCCAGCCCACTTAATTTTCAATATCTCCCCACGCTGGCCCGGAACAGCTCGAAGCCCCCGCATAATCCCAAGCAGGAGGAGGCCGTCGATAAGAACGAGAAACGAACAGCGAGGACAATTGAGAGAGACTGGAGGGTTAACGAGGAAGAACGTATAAGGAATATTGGAGGACGAGGTAAGGCAAGGCATGGAATGAGCCGGTCCGAAAAGCACGCACAGTTATCAACGCCATGGCATGTGCTAGAACCCAAGCGCGTGCGAATCGCGCGCGCGGGTCTAGTCGAGGATGGGGGGAGGTTGAGGGGGGAGGTGGAGGCCATTTGAAGAAACTCCCTCGTAGCCTACAGTCTGGCCGAGAGGGAGCTTCTCGAGCATCGCCGCGGGGGAGGGGGTCCAAGATGTGGTTCGCAAGGTACTCAGGCCCGTTTCGCTCGAGACATTCTCCGAACCCTGGGCTACTGCGAGATGCCCTGAATTGAGGTGCTTTGGCCCGTTTCGCTTGAGACCTTCTCACTAATCTTGGTCCCAAGGTGTAGTTCGCGATGTGCTCCGGCCCGTTTCGCCTGAGACATCCTCGGAGTCCCTGCCTGGCTCCGAGAAGCCCTGACTTGAGGTGACCCGCGTGTTGTCGATGCACGGTCGCTTCGGCCGTCGCCGCGATCTCGAGCCGACAGAGACCGTCGGGATGTTTTGGCTCTTGCTTTCGCGCTGCCCTGGGGCCTGGGGCAGCCGTGGGCCTTGTGCACCCAGAAGAGATGTGAGAAAAACATGCTGTCGCGAGGAGATAGGACCAAACAAACGCATTCGTATTTTTCAGTGTGCAAGGCGTCCTAAAACAAGTGGTGTTCTAAACGTACAATGTCATATTACCCTTAAAACATACGTCTTATTCTAAAATAGTGCCAATCGTTGTCTGTGTATGCGTAGAGTTGTTCAAGTTATGGCTTATTTGTTGCTTAACATGCGTTGCTTTCGTTTGTTTTGCTCTGCTGTTTGACATTGTGAATTGGTTGTCTAAATTGTATATGTATGTTCTAAAGGTTGCGTATCGTTGTTCTACAAGTGTTCGAATTGTGCGTTATTTGTTTTCTAAAAGGTTGTGTATCGTTTCAAAGTGTACACTATTGTCTTCAAGTGTGCGTTACTTCCGTAAATATTGATTGTCACGTTGTGCATGGTTATCATGCAGTGTGCGCTCATTTTCTAAAGTTTGCGCATTGCTGCTGGGCAATTTGCGTTTTGTTGTTCGCAAATGTTTTCACCCCTGGTTGTAGGATTGATCTCGCAGTTTTCAAGTAGCATATAAACCACTCTTGCACCAAGTTAGAGCACACCGATGGTACTCAATAGTTAGTGTCATGTTAATTCTCAAGATGTTCTGAAACGGATTAGCAGCGTCTTGCGTTCTTATCTCGCTTGTGTGTCCCGGTGTAGCCCTGAGGGCGTCCTATCGGATTCGTGTTGTTCCCCGTCTATCGCAATACGTGGGTTTCGCCCCCACGTTCGCGGGCGTTTCAATTCAGAGACGCGATTTGGAGGCTACGCGCGGAGTTACCCGTCTTCTTTAACATGTATTCGTAGTGGGTGCACTGTGTAAGACAGGGGGAGATCTCAATTAGCTTATAGCTTAACAGTTGTACAACAGCAATTCATCGAGCATTCGTGTTTCCGATGAACGTAATTTCTTGGAAACAGTTACCGTTTCATGTAACTACCGTTTCTGGTTTGCCATCGGGCATTGCGAGCAGAAAGCGACAGCCACAGTATTTGAGCGAGCAGTCTTAGTATTCAGCGGCGTTTAGTGTTTAGCACTCCCTGAATGTTTGTGCGAATCGGTTGCAGTGCGCGTAATTGTTGCCGTTCGCTGTTTTGTTTAAGGTTCCAGCGCTTGCTGTTAGGTCGGGAGGTTGTTCGGCACAGCTTCGCGGGCTTGATGCTTGTTTGCGGTGGGAACTTCAGAGATCTGTGATGCATGTGTTGAGACAGTTGTTCGGCACAAGTCCGCGGGTTTGTTCGCGGCCAAAAAATCGAC